TATTTTTTGGGATAATCTACTTAAATACAATACTCACCCTATATGTAAACGAAAAAATAAAACTAAATTTAGATTTTATCTCAGAAATAAATTTGACGAGTTGTTGGACTTATTGATATAAAATTTCGTTCTGACAAATATATTGTGCGGGAGTTCTTGCTCAACTTTCGAATTCGAGAATTCACTTCGTATTTATCTACCTTAAAATAATGTACATTTTCAAGCCAACTGTGATTTCAAGATTTTTGTAAAAAGAACAATGTGTTTGAATTGATAAACGTTCATATTTATTTTAAGATCAATCGATTTCATGAATAGTTTAGATCTGTTAATTTTTTTTATAATGTCATCGTGTTTGTGTAACTATTAGTGAATAATTCTATCATTAAATAAGATAAAAAGATAAGACGAACAATTTCTCAGACCTCCAATCTGTCAGTATAAGTATTTAAAATATATTTTCAGCTTTAAAAGTATGTTTATTAATTTTTTTATCAATTCCAATATGAGCCCTGCAAATAGTACATTTTATCAATCGATCATCACTTTGTTCATTCGATTGTTCAATTATGAGCGTAATTTCATTAGTTAAATTTGAAATTCGCTATTCCTTATTGAACTGATAAAATTGCTTTTTATAACAAGTTCATACTTCCAAATTCTCCAAATTCCATCATTTTGAACTATTCAAACGACATTTGTTCTTCATGAACTTTGAACTCATTGCCAGTGTAATTCTGATAGTACATTTATATTAGATAATATCGTCATTTTTTGCCAGTTACAAGCAATTTTTGATGGTTAGTACGTTGATACAGCTGCGACTTATTTCTTTCCGTAATTTATCATTAATTTATTATACCTTTATGAGAGACCTTCAAAATTCGAAAATGAGATGATTTTCCATTTCAAATCTCTATATTGTAGATGCCGCTTATTCATGATATTACAATGTATTGTTTACCATTGAATCAATTTAGTATCAAAAGATTAGTACTCATTATTTTTGGTTTTTTAAATTAACTTTATTTTTATATTAATATTGTATTCTTTTTATTATATTAAAAAATCTATTTTTGGTTCTTTTAAACATTCTAATTAAATAAACACATATCACTGTTTTACGCATCTTGCGTAGTTAAATATTTCAATATCTTTTAAATATTAGCGATATTGCGTAATAACATTTAGAATTCATTTCTTTTACCAAAGATGATATTTAAGTAGTTTTTTGTCAGTGCAAAGTCTGAATAAAAAATATCGCTTTTATTTATAATGTTAAAATATCAGTAATGATCGATTCACTCATGTTTCAAAGCACTTGTTAGAAATTTAATTTAAATAGATAGTATGAATTGATCTTGTGAATTTTACATTTAACAAAATGAAAACTACGATAATTTTTTATTATATTATACAAAGTATTTTTATTATATTATTATAAGAAAATATTTTTCCAGCATGAATGAAATAAAAAATATTCAACTTCAATGCTTTTTGTTATAAAATATCGAGTCGTTATAAATATCTTTCCATCAAGTATTAACACGTGTTCGTGCGATTTTTATGATGATTATGTAATTTTTTCCTCTTTACATTTTTCTGGAATCTATAAATAAATAATAAAAGTCGTTCATCAACTTTGCTGCACTCGTTGGTAATCGGAAATTTTTTTAATATCGACGAAATAATCGCTTCAGATATAAAGTAGATTTTATCGATTGTGACGTTCATCGTTTTACTCTATATTATTGTGTCATTAACTTTTATTAACAAAACAAAAGCAAAAAATACCTTCTGTCAGCAAATAAGAAAGAGTTGAGTTGCTAGACGAACACAATGAAAATGAAATACATTTGTGTAATACATTTGTTGAGGGTGGAAATTTTTAACAAGCGAAAAATAGAGAAAAGAGAAAAATCTTTGAGTGGCAAATGAGCGATTACTCGCACCAATGAGAGTGCAAAAATAGTTGACAAAGAGCAACGCCACACGTGTATTATATGATAATAACATTTGCTCATAAGCAAATTATCTTGAACCAAGTAAATTTCACGAATTTCACGCTACTTTTTTCGTTACTTAAAAATTATTTTTAAGTAACGATGATTTATAGTCGATGACAGCAAGCCTACAAAGAAGCGAACCAGTCAACTGTTGTTTCACTCCGTTATGTCTTGTGCACGATACCGATCGAACGTGCCGTTCATCACGCCTGTTGTGCAGTTTATGTTACAAGACAATCAAGCGTTATTAGCGCTTAATTGAGCGATATGCATATACGCCGAGAGCATAAACGAAAGAGAACGAAAAAGTAAGAAAGAGACCAAGTCAAAGCGACGAATTGATTCGAACGCGTTGATTTGTGATCTCATTGAGAAATCGAATGCTTGGACTTATTTGGTTCTCGCGCGCTCGCGTGACACGAAGCTTTGCTGATCGCGCATGTACGAATTATTCGCTCGGCTTTTTATTTTGCCTCTTTTAGCAGCTCACAATAAATAAGCCCTCGTGATACACGAGCGCGTGTATACTCACCGATGAACGTTTCATTCGTTGAAATTTTGATGAATTATCTAGATTAAAAATGTAGAACGAAAATGTGACTTCAAAACACTTGAAATACACGTGGACAAAGAAAAATGTGAATCCATCAAGCGATCTTACACTGCGTGGGATCAAATTCAAGTTCATGCTATTTCTGGTTTTCATTTTATAATTACTGTATGGTCTGGTGTTTTTGTATACATCCTTTTTTTATTCGGTCGTAAGAACGGGTTTGCATATACAAACGCGAGCACATCATAAGCAGGCGGAATGAGCCAAGCTTGTTAGTTTATTATAGCTGAGAAGGAAATGTGCGATATGTGATACGCTGCTTAAAGACATCAACGCGCACGTGATGTAATTTTTCAAGTTAGAAATGAGATTCGAAATGGAAATAAAGTGCGGATAAAATTTGATTGATATATCTCGATTCTACCATCAATCAGTCAATTTTTGAGTAAATCATCATTATTTCTCAGTATTTTTAATCAGTATCACAATTGAATTCTTTTGGAAACCGATCGTTCTTTTTTTCGCGAGCAGAGTAATGGAAAAAAGTAGAAAAATAGTTATGCAAGTCAAACGTTATGCAAGCGCGCAAGTTTATAAATATGACTTCTTAGAAAAAATGTATTTTTATCCTGAAACAGAGAAACAGAAAGAGAGAGAGGAGCATACGCGAGGAATGCATTATGCATGTATTGCGCGCCACATAGCACACTGTCCGCGACGCGAGCAGTAGTAGTTTATTTAAAAATTATTCATATAAATTCTGCTGGACTCTCGCGGAGTGCAATTCTTTATAGTTAGGCAAAAGAAGTAGCTTGCGCTGCTAACTGCTCGTCACGATAATGCTGCGCATGAGCATTTATTTTTAGCCTGCAATTTTGCGTCGTCGTTATCGAGCACTAAAAGACAATTGTGATTATCTGGCATATTTTAATATTATTTTATTCAGACAAATAGATTCTTATCTGCAAGTGTAATTCTATTTTTGATGCTTCGCCGTGTATACACTGTCAACTGTTAAGTAATCAATAGTTGACTATCGCTATTAATCCGGCAGATTCGTAGTCTCCAACCGCGATATACCATAGAAGTCATCCAATGTGCTTCGAATTTTCGAGCTCGACTTTTTCACGATGAAGCTTGCGAGATTAGCAATTATGACGTCACTAGATAACGATTAAGGAAGTCGATGATCGATTTATTCATTATATACACATATACATATAAATAAAAGCGCTTATACTTCTCGAAGTTTCTGAAAATTAAGTTATTCCATTGCTCGTATGTGCATGCGAGTGGGCATATGCGATGAATATATATTTGTTATCGCGCCGTTGCATTTTTTGTAAACATACGCTGCTCTTACGTCATCTTTGCAATGATACTACTACGTTCCGCGCGCTTCTCTGTATAAGTGTGGATATACCAAGGAATTTTTAATGTTACGTAAGTTAAAATGCTTGCTCCTATATATACACACACAATAAGAAAATCTCGAATTTTTGCGCGTATACAATTTTATTAAATGGCCGATCCGAATGAACAGAAATTAATTAATTTCATTGTAAATGGAAAAATGTTGAACAGGAAATTTCCGTTTGTTTCAGGAGTCGCTATCGTCGACATCCAGTCCAACTCGACAATTTCGCCGCACAGAGGTAAGACAGTAATTTTTTTATAAAATATCGCGGCTCGATTAAACAAAAAAATTGAAAAAAATGTTTTCGATCACTTACAAACATGCGGTTTCAGTATTCATTATTCTTTATTTAAAATGATTATGTCATTAATTATAAAATTAATAACGGCATACTTACATGAATGTAAGCACATTAACTCAAATTTTTCCCCTGAAAAAATTTCGAACATACAATTTACCGCAACTACTCTGTTTCGTGAGTTTAAAAATAGCTGCTGAAACAAAGAAATGATTCATAGATAAAAGAGTTGCATTAAGCTGCTCAATGTCTCAAGATGTACGGAATGAAGGTTTTTCGACACATCCCGAATTAGACATAAAATCGTTGGATTCAGCGATCGATAAAATCCGAATCATTAGGCTAGCTAGCGCGCGAATTTCATCATGTGACTCGAAGTGCACTCGCAGCGGCGAGCTACTGTTTTTGGAATTTTTTGCAAATTTCGTAACTGCAGCGGCAGTTTCCTCAAGAAATATGCATATATGCTCGTGGCGCATTAATTCCACTGTTGTCGTTTCTTTTTCATTCAGGCGCAATCGAAAAGTTCGTTTTACACGTCGGATTTTTCGTATGTCACATCATCAATTACGGCGGCTAATATAGCTACAGACTCGGAGCGAAAATTTTCCGTCATCGATGCATGCCGAAAATAAATTCAAAACAGCCGGTAGCACGTGTGTGGGTTTTTGGCATTGTTTTCAGCGATCTATTTAAAAAAAAAAGCTACAGTGACGCTGAGATCAGATAAAAACAAAAGTTTTATATATAAACGTTGGAATACGTGTGTGTATGTGTTTGAGATGAATGTATGCATGTTTAAATGTATGAGTGTATATATACGAACTTTGTTATATATATATATTCTGGTTTTACCCCACTTTTTCAAGCATCGCGCATATGCGCGCTCTTCTCCCACTTCTGGCAAAACAGACAGACGAAGAGAGAAAGAGACAAACATTATGTCGCGGTGGTCGCAGTTGCCGCTACCGCGACGCAGATTATTATAGACCGGCGAAGTTTGATACGAAAGATCGTGGCGTAGCCACAGCAGTCACTCTGTGATGCTCTCAAGATGAACATTGTGTGCAGTTGCATCGAGCCTTAACTCAAGAGTGTTTTTCGCGCGCGGCAATCTGCCGCAGTTTTTGGTGCTTTTGTTTTTGTTCAATGTGAGCTTTGTGAACTTGCACTGCTACTTGTGCGCCGCTGGCATTTTGTGACAACTGTTGGAACGAAGCGGCGCGGAAAAAAAAATTAGTGGCCCACATGTGCTCGATAGTGCCAAACGATGAAAGTCCAACTGCCGATCGATAGGCCTTTGAAAGGTAAAGTCCCGCTCTGAAATCCGGAGCGTTTTTGCCCAAAAAAGCTCGCCTTGCTATAACGGCGTGCAAACGATACTTGTGCATGAATAATGCCGAGAGCGATGTATCGCGAAACGCGACCGATGTTGTCTATATGCACCTCGGAGTAATTGTTTCTATGAATAGACACGCTTGTGACATAACTTTCGAGAGACGTGTATATGTAATCAACTCGACGTGTACGTGCTGTTGACGCTAACTTTATAAAAGAGACATATTACGTACTTTATGTCAGTTTTTTCCTCTCGCTCTATCACTCTTCTATCTCGACTCTTTTTTTCTTTTTTTCTTTTCTTTGCATACCCGACGGTACTATAAAAAGCAAAGTTAGCCAAAGCCTACGACTTGCGGAATTTAATCGATCGATCGTCGATAAATTTTATTCCCCATATTCGCTGGCATTATTCATGACAATTATTCGCTCCTGACATGAACATACTGAGAACAAATGAATTTTCACAACAACAGGAAGACAAAGATCAAGTTGAGGAACAGTTCGCAAATCAGCCGAAGAGCTTGAGAAATTCTTCCATCGTCGCCGTCGTCGTCGTCGTTGTTGCCGCCGTAGCCGCTCGCAGACGTCGCTAATGATAAAATTCCGATAACACTGCGACCAATAAACACAGCCAACAGACTTTGTCTCTCACTCTCGCTCTCTCTCTCTCTCTCTTTCTTCGTCTCTTTCAATCCTTTCTCTCGTGCATCGAGTATTTTATACGTGCCATTATAAACCAAAGGCGAATTTTTATTTGTGCCGGTGCGTATGTATGCGTACATGCTCGCAAGTATATGTACAGAGCATCAGCAGCGCTGGTAAAGCACCAATTGTCAGTTTTTCGTCTTCTTTTTCGCCGATCGCTGTAGATGCGATCTTTATTATTGATCGTTTCGACTTTTCGATCGGTCGAATAAGAAATCTTTTTCCCCTCGCGCATCTCTCTGTCTGTCTCTCTCATTCTGATCGTTTGCTCTCTGCGTACGCGTCTCGTTATTGCGGAGCGAATCTCGCCAGCATTGGAATTGAGAAACGAGTCGGGAGCGAGCTCGGCGCAGCGCAGCAAGTTGTCGTGTGCTGTGTGTGTGTGTGTGTGTGTGCGCGCGTCTCGCGTCGGTGTGCGAGCGAACGAGCAAAGCGAGGCTTCGTTTGATGCAGCGCAAGCGGCCAACCTGTTGCCCGAGAGAAAGAAGCCACGATATATACATTAAATACTCGCCGGTGGAGTGCGACGAATTCGTTTAATAATTCTCAAGGCTGATGGTTTCGTTAAAAAGGAGCAGGAGGCGTACGATATAGGCTGCGTCCGTATAAATCGCACAGAGATATTTATTTATGCCTGGGAGCTCGGGTGCCGGGTCGTTGACTTTGATCGAGAATCGCGGCGCGCGTCCGCGTTGCCTTTGTCGCGCCTCGACAAAATAAAAAAATGCGCGTATCCGTAGAAAGGGGAGTTGGAGGCCACCACCACACGTCAGCCTTCAGTCCGTATATCAGCAGATCGTTGAGCGGCAGCAGCAACAGCAGTAACGAGAGCGACGCAGGCATGCTCTTGGTCGGGCCTCAGCCACTGCCCGCGACACCTGCCAGCAGCAGCAGCGCCTCGCGCTCTTACGCGAAAATAATCAAACTGTCTCCCACGTCGCTCGGCGTCGCGTCTCCCAAATCGAGCTTTAATAGCAACAACAACAACAACCTGTCGTTCACGGGCTCGGCCTCGTCCTCTGTTTGCGCAGAAATGGCCAGAGACACGCCGGCCACGGCGATGTCGTCAACGTCAGCGGTCACGACGGCCAGCAGCCGACGGCCCAACCTGCTCTCGACCTCGTCCACGTCGTCCACGTCGTCGTCGGGCTCGGCCTCGGCCATGGCGGCCGTAGTCGCCGAGGAGCGTCGCGGGGGCGCCGGACCACTGAGCGCGAAAAATTTTCACGCTGTCACCGCCACTGGCCGCGTCGTCGAGGCAACCAACGTCACTGCCAATAATGTCGCTGCCGCTGCCGCTGCCGCCGCCGCCGCTGCGGCTGTTGATCCACGCATGCCGTACACCGATATATTACAAGATCGCATTTTTGAGGTAAGCTGTAATTTATTATTTGAGCAAATTTTATCGATATACGTGCACGCGCGCATCAGCGTTACGCATAATATAATACATATATACACTCGTGACGTAGCCTACATCACGAATGTATATTATATTATGCGCGCATACGCTTTGAGCTTCGCAAGCTGAGTCAATCGACGACTGCTACACGTGTGCGATTCAATTTTTATACTCTGTACATATTTGTCAACTAATTAAATGGAACTATACATCGATCGACAATCAGGATGCACTTGATGTTCGCTCACGTACACGCGTTAGGCGCAGAGCAGAACGGAATTCGAGTAACTCGAATTCTGGTTAAATCGACTTTTATCTCTGCGACGCTTCTGCTTGTACCGCGCAATTGCGCAAAAGTGCTACATTTCAACAAGCCGTACGTATCGCTACGGAAATAAAAATAAGTTCCAAGTATATTTTTTCGTCGAGAGAGAGAGAGAGAAAAAAAAGTTCTAACAAATAAAAGTGCGCGTGTAATATTTTTCCCCGTCCCCGTCCAAATCGTGCAAAATTCAATTTACAGAAAAAAAGAAAAAAAATTGTGCCACCGACAGCAACACACACCGCGTGGCGTAGCGCGAATATACGTGTGCGCGAGAGCGGGTTATATATTAATCTAAAAATAAGTTTACTGTCTGCGCGTTGTATGCGTTTGTCTGTATATATGTTCGCGCACTGCGTATACGATGTGTTTTTATACTCAATATCATAAAGCAAATACTTATGATTTCGACCTTCAGCTGTTTCAATCGAATAACGCTCGAATTATAAAAAAAAAGAAAAAAACTTGTGTTCATTTATAGTTTACTGCGGCTAACGAGCGAATATTGCACTTCGTAATCGATTCGATTCGTGAAAATGTAACTTTGAGTTAACTTTTTTTTGGCTCACGAGCAAAAAGGCATCACGTGTAGTTGGACGATTAAAAAAAAACAAAAGAACCAGTGGTTGGCCAAATCCGATTTCTCTCTCCGTATCTCATTCGTTAGATTCTATCCTCTTATCATTGTATACACATATCAATATAAACGTGACAAATACAAGTTAAAGTTCAACGGAATTTTGTCGGAAGCTATATGATAAATAATCAAGTCAAATAGTGCGTTAGAACTAAAACGTGAAATTTCGCGAGGGTCGCTTGGAAAATTACGTATAAAATACATGTACGTGGGCTACGTACGAAACGAGTGTACATAATGAGGAATCAAACGTCGACATCTATAGAGTTTACGCTTTGGCTTGTTCACTTGCTGTTCCGGTAATGGAGTACATGCATTATAGTACGCTGTTTATATATGTGTGTGTGTTCAAGTTCAAGGCCAAACAGCTCCGAGCTCGCGGCGGATGTGCGTGAACGCGACGCAGTATAAACTTATAGGTATACACCGAGTGAAAGAGGAAAATTTCGAGGTCAGATGGGACTTTTAATTCGCGATTTTGTTCCGATTTATCAACTTTACTACGAGCTAAAGATGTATTGCTTTGTGTATCGCGTGCTCAGATTTTATCATTTTTAATAATAGCTCATAGATCTATTTTTGGAAGAAAAAATTTTGCTCGCTTAGGTCGGCACTGTCCGTATTTACGCGGTGGCGTCGTAATGAGGCGCCGCCGACTTAACTGACTCTTGAATTCTGATCACTTGTAGAGCTACGAGTAAGTACGATCGGGTATTTATAAAATTCCTAACCTTACGATTAAAGAGAAAAACTCCTTCACCTCCAAAGTCAATAAATTTATAATTAACAGCGTTAAAAATGTACCTATATTTTTATATTTCTGAATCATGCAGTTCATTACGTTTCTTAAGGAAAAAAACATGGACTTCCCCAAAATCACGTGTTTCTATATATATACACCAAAAACTCGCGCACTTATATACTCACTGATCTTAAATTAGTTCAAAAATTAACAGATGTATACGGTACAACTGAAGTTGTTGTATTTTTAGGTTTTGCTTTATTATCGTTCTAAATAAAACCTCGTTTATTTTCAAGAGCTACTCTAAATCATTAAAACATTTTTTTGTCATAGCATATACGTTGCCGCTTAGGTGTGACGCTGTAGAAAAAACATATCAATAGATTTTGGTTACCCGCGGGCGCACCGCTAGATAAGTTGAGATCTGTGTATTATACATAGATTTCGTTTCGCATTATTATATTCTTACGCAAACGATGCTGATTTTTTTTATGATACTGCACTGGCTTTAGTATTGAAGTATAAGTATTTATAATAATTAATAGTTTCTTTGAATTTTGAAAAGATTAAAAAAAGTATCACGCTCATAATCTTTCTTATTATTTTTTTAAATCTACAGTGTTATAATTTTAAAGTTATTTTATAGGCTTTGAAACCTCGAGTAATTGATTTTTTCCATTTTACCACAAACAATTTTTTCGCAATTACATTTTTTTATTTAGCTTCGTTTCAATAGCAATATTTGTAAGATTTTGGAGCCAAAATAAATCGATAACGTCATCGCAAAAATGATGGTGAAAATAAAACCGAGTTGAAATTCAATGGATACCGCGTAATTATTGAATTTAGCGGGTAAATATTGACTCGAATGTTCAAAAATGCCTGCTCATTTGAAAATACATTCAGCGAGTTTAAATTTACAATATTTATTTTGTCTATAGCGCGTAAAATTGTTGCCGTGAAATTGGGTAATATTGTTAACAGCAAATAATTAATCAACGAAATTTTGTCTAACATGTATCAAATTATTTTCACATAATAAATAGAATTTGAAAATAACCCAAATCGATCGTATTCATATTTTCTTTCTCTCATATATAAAACTGAAATCTGGCAGACTGATAAAGTTTATATTCGTCATTTCAATATTTGTATTACGAGAAACGATTCCATATTAATTCAAATTTTTAATACTATATAGAAGTATATATTTATATTTTCATTCAGTACTCCCTCTCAATTTTGGAACATTCCATAGTTGTTTATTCACCACAAAAAATGTATAAACTTATTTCTACGATGTATTTAAAGATTTTATTATTTAAATTCCTAGAATCCTATTGAATTTGGCGATCATTAAACATCAAAATTTAAATTGTATAAAATCTTCGCGTGAAAATCACCAAGCCTTATAAAGTTTCATTCGTTACATTCATTCCTTTTTTCTTTTCATCAGTATGCAAATTTTTTAATATGCGTTAACTTTGTAACCCAAGGATGTGGCGATAATTCAACTGTCTTCAACATGTTTGTCATTGCTATATTATACAGTATTGATGTATTTAAAAATAGAAATCTAACGAGACAAAAGTCTAATTAGTACATATAGAACATTATTCATGATAGCTAATTTTCGGACATCCTGTGTCTGGCTTGAAAATCAATTTTATCGATAATTGTAAAACAATGCCACTCGGAATTCGTTCTTACGATGCATAATAAAACGCAATTTATTTTTAAAATTCAAAAAACACTCATACTGATTCATTAAAAATTGAACCGTTCTTAAAGGAAGGAAAGTCATTTTTACAACAAGAAATTTTAAAATTAGAACAAAAATCCTGAAGAGTAGTTATAAGTTCACATTCTTATTCGTTCAATAATCAAAATATTACTCTTAATAAAAGAAAGAGGTTTGAACCTGATCGAAATGCCAACTAAACATGATGGAGAGTATTCGGTGCAAGAGATAACGCGCCTGCTTGTCCTGCTTCTTGTTTAATGATCGGTCATACACAGTGAAGTGTTCTGTAATCAAATTCACACCTCATCCCCGGCCTGAATGACGTCGAAGCTTGTACTATAATGAAGTCAGTAACACATTTTTCTACCACGACGAAAAATTTAATTGTTAACAAGTAATCACGACCTAATATCTTATTAAACAATTTTCGCACTTATGTTTCATAATGAAATCGATATCTTGCTACACGCGAGTCTTTTATTCAAGTCTGATATGAATATTGTAATGAGCATTGAATTTAGATAGATAATATCTGCGCTCGTGAGATAAAACGTTTAGTATCTATAGAGCGGTCTATTGAAAAATCGAACACCTACGCAGATAGATAATTACACTTTTTCATTTATTTTGGGTTTCTTGGTACTTGAGCCTGTAGCTTATACAACATCGATATTGAATACGTTAAAGCTATTAGAAAAATAAAACAGAGATATATTTTTTTAGATATTTTGTTTTTATTCAGTTGCAGCAGCACTATGTTATTCAACAGCAGGTTTTACATCAACAGTTCAAAGAGCAAGAAAGGAAATTGGTCGAACTGCAACAACAACAACAACAAATGCAAACGATGAGAGTTAGTAATGTAATATCTTTTTTCAATGTAAAGTAGCAAAATGTTTCTGTATAAGTAGAAATATTTTAAAACTAAAAAAACTGATAATCCAATAAACATGCCCCGATAAGAATATAATCGATTGAATTTCCAAATTTCCTTAAAAAAGCTCGCTGCATAAAGCTAATGAATAAGCAAATAGAATAGTCAAGTTAAGAAATGATTCGGATCGATCCCAAACTCATTTATTAATTGAAAGCGTCTGGATTTAATACCTCTGAAAAAATCAATAAGTCTGATGCTATTTTATCGCAATAAGTCCAAGTCTTTTCGTTAAATCGCACGATTATTCAACTGCAGTCACTTCTCGATCGAAAATGTTACGCCAGATTTTATAAAGGATATTTTTACCACAATGGTTTGTTATAAAAAAATTGGAAATAAAGTTGTTTCATCGTAGTTCTGTTAAAAACCCAGGAAAAAGTTAGCGTTTCTATTATGGTTTTGAATTTTTTCTCATGATTCATAGTCAATTATTACGTAAATGATCACGTGATTGGGCGCATACACCGAGAAAAAAACCTTTATAACGCGGCTACATCATGGCTATTAATAGGAACTCGTTATCTGGCGTATCAATATCAGCCACTTTATTCTTTTTTGCCCTTGCGTGCGAAAACAATTTTTCTCAAATAGATCAAGTCTCTCTTTCTTTATCCTGTTCTCGAATTCTATAAAAATTTGTACTTTTATATGATCCATGAAGCATTCGTATTAGTGAACTTTTTTTACATGTATTGAAAAATTAAAAACATTGATTTCTGAAGATCATTGGCGATATCGTCTGAAAATATATGTTCTTTGTTTAAAAAGTCCAAATTGATTACTTTAACGAGTATAAAATTGTGAAAACTGTAACAACCGAAAAAATACAGTTCAAGTATAAACCATTAAATCTATCTTTCTTCCATTGTATTCTCCTTAATTGAAATAAAAAATAAAACGAATTGAATCTTGGAACCGAATCTCCTTCAGGAATATTTTACTTTGTATCTGCTGGTACGTTCGTCAAGATTATCAAAGCCGGTTTCTTATTTTTAGCGAACAAAGATTGAAAATATAGGGAGCATGCATGAAAATCGATTAACTGGTTTTTTATTGCATATATTTTTTTTACGGCGAGTTGTAACATCGGTATTTTTAACGATTCATAATGAATCGTATTAACTATAAATGTCTTAAAAAGTTTATTGTTTTTAATTAATCCATCTCTTTTGAAAAAATTATTTCATCATTCATAATAAACAATTGGTTTTTTTTTAGATTTGGCAGCAAAAGCAAATAAAAGAACAGCAACAAAAAGAGCAGCAGCAAAAAGAAAAAGAACGGTTAGAGGGAATGCGGAAAAAAGAAAATAAAATTCCCCACGGTGCAATAGCATCTCCTAATGTCAGGATGAAATTAGCAGTAAGTTTCCGTTCAACACCGACGCTTATTACACATTAATTTTAATCCATGAATTAATTTGTCATTTTTTTGCAGCATTTTTTAACTAATAAAAAGAAATTACAAGAGCAGGCTGCGGCCAATAATGGAACATCACACGCCCAAAGCAACACCGATCACAAAAATTGGTAAGTTCACGTTTGTGGCACACTGAATCTTGGTAAAACAAATTCAGCATAATCTCATTGTACCGAGAACGTTTTAATTTTCAGCACTATTGGAGATTAATAAAAAATATTTTATCTTTCGTTTCAGGCAACAAGACATAGTTTCAACTAGTTTAGTAAATGTCTCAGTGGTCAATCCGTACGGCTTACAAACAATGCAAAGAGAAAAATTAGAAATGCAGTTACGTAAATCAGGTAATTTTTATGGATTGCTCATAAAAATTAAGAGCTACTCCTCAATTATTTAACGCGCGTGTGCAACGCGATTTTTAATGAAACTTTAAGTTGATAAAACCCTATAATAGTGGGTCAGTTTTGAAACTTGCCATGTTATTAACTTTATAATAAAGCATGTTTTTTTTAGTTTTGCTTTTACTATTTATTGTTATTTATTCGTTCGCTATTTTATTTTTATATTTTTTCGCCTTAAAAGATGTAACAGCTAATATAAAAATGAATAGAAACACTTTTTTTGTTATTTTCATAAAATAATTTTAAAAAATGTGTCTAATAAATTTCATTTTTAATGAGCTCTTGCGTCTCGTTCAAATCAAGACTGCTGACTTTTTGTGTGCTTAACACTAGTAATAGTTAACATACTTTGAACTAATTGAATAGGTTTGAGCTCTATTGAAAAATTTAATTAATTCTTACATCAATGTCTTAAATTCACGATAATTTAGCGCCATTTTAATAGCTATTTATTTCTATATTAATTTAAACTCATGTGATAATGTAAAGCTCTCAAAGTAATAAAGTGCATTAAAAACTGTGGATTGACCCATTATTCATAGATCGTTTACACGCGATGACATAAACGATTTTTGTAATGAAAACGATGTAAATTCGAAAAAATGTACACGCAAGTTATTTTAAACGAGCAAAATCAACTTCATTAACCCTGTCCTAAAATTTTCGGGTAGCTTCGGAACCTAACATATTGAACAATGTCCGGGGGACTTTGAAGGCGCGAATTGAGAAAAAGATGACCAATGTTCGTCATTCTCCTATGAACCGAAGGAAGGAGCCTCATCAGCCACTTTGGAAAACATCGCTTACAAGTACGTCCTCACTTCAAAACAATCTTTTATTTTAATGTTTATTTAATTAAGTGAATCAGTTTTCATTTGATTTTTTACTATAATGTCTCTGTTAAAGACGTTTCTAAATTTCTCACTTGATTTACAGTAAATACTCAATTAATATGATTTATTGTCCAATTACTCCATTTTAATTTCGCGATCTTAGTCCGGTCAAACGTAGTCGCATGTTGAGTAACTATTCATGTTTTGTTAATTTATTCAATGAATTGATAAAGATTAATGCGTTTTTTTTAATAATACTTGTTTGACAACTAACAGAAAAGTACAATAAGCAAGTGGACATTCATGTCCCGTGATTTTAACACTTATAATTTTGATGTTCTAAAATATGATAATTAAAGTAATTAAGCTTTTTAGTGAATTTTTGTTTTTTATTGTTCGTAATAACTAACGAGTGAGAGTTTGTGTAAAAATTTTTTCATTTAATAATTTAATAAATATATTTTTATAAATAATTCGCAGTGGATTTCCGTAATGATAATATTTGAGTAAATTGAAGGCAGATGATAAAATTTGCAATTATAATAAAAAGTTTAATAATAATCTAGGCTAATAATTGATAAAATCGAGGCCAATGAAAAGTTCGTGGCAATTATCAATAGGATTGCATTGCAGATTCGGGTAGTAATTCAGATTCCGGGCCGAATTCACCTCCGACTTTAGGCAACTCGAGGTTCTCGCCGACCATCAGCGCCGGCTCGTGCAATTCCATCCAGGAGGAGGGCCGAGTCGCGACGTCTTCGTACGGCCAGCTGAACAGCGGCAGCAGCAGCGCAGTGCCGCAGATCAGCCCCACGGATTACCCGTTGTTCAGCTCACCATCGATGCCAAATATATCCGTGAGCAAGTCGCAGCTGCAGTCCGGCTCAGCGGTAAATTATTTAAAGTGCCGAATTATCGGATAAAATTTATCTCGCGAACGCGTCGAGTTTTAATTTTGGCCACCGCCGATGAATTTTGCAGAGGACGCCGACTTTGGCGCCCGTCTCGGAAGCCGAGGTTCGCGCGGCCTACACGGCGCGCTTCGGCGGCCCCTTGACCGGGCAGATATTGCCCGACACCCTGCCGTCCTATCCATCGATATCTCTGGCGGAGGGCGAGACGATCTACCTGCCACAAGGACACGTCGTGTCGATGTCGGGCGCCACCCCGACGGCCCGACTTTCCCAATCATTCCTTTATCGTTTGCCGATAACGGACGCACAGGTGGCTCACACGAGGCTCAATAGGACGAGCCATCGGCCGTTAGGTAGTATGTTGTCTTTTTTACTCCTACCTTTTCAAACGACCAATACTTATTTCGGCTTCACTGACGCTCGATTGAACTGTTAAAAAACAACAGCTAGGACACAGTCAGCTCCATTGCCGCTGAAGCATCCAGCTCTGACTGGAATGGTGATGGGCCCACCGCCACCGGCGACTGGCCATCCGTACGAGGACTACAGGGTTGTCACGAGATCACTGGACGAATCCAAGCCCTCGCACATGCGCGTCAAAGAGCATGTGAGAAATACGGTACTGATAAGAGCCGGATCGAGAAGTCAACTTCTGGACGATTCGCCTTTGGAGTCGGAAGAATCGGAAGTCATTGATCTTACTGGAAGAAAAGATCATCCCAGTATGTATGGCGAAGTTAATATAAAAATTGTAGTCGATTTATAAAACGTTGAATTTTTGGACTACATTAGGCTCCGCAGAAAGAAAATTAGACAGTTGTGTTAATATTCGTTTTGTATCCACGCAGGATCTGTTCAGACGGTCGCGATTGACACGCACGCTCAATCGAAGCCGGAGCAAAGCATCACCACTGGCCTCATTTACGACGCCATCATGCTGAAGCACGGTTGCACCTGCGGCGAGGCCGTGCGAAATCATCCCGAGCACGGCGGACGGCTCCAAAGCATATGGGCCCGACTGTCGGAGACCGGCCTGATGGCGCGCTGCAACAGAATCCGGGGCCGCAAGGCGACCTTCGGCGAGCTCAAGTCCTGCCACGACGAGGATCACGCCTTCCAGTTCGGCACGACTCTGGCGCCTCGTCAAAAGATGGACGGAATCGGGATAAATTTCGTCAGGCTCGGATGCGGCGGCATCGGGGTCGACAGCGACACGACCTGGAGCGACATGCACACCAGTGCGGCCGCCATCATGGCCGCTGGCTGCGTCATCGAGCTGGCGTCGAAAACTGCCAAGGGCGAGGTGCGAAATGGCTTCGCCGTAATCAGACCTCCGGGCCATCACGCGGAGCCGAACCAAGCGATGGGCTTTTGCTTTTTCAACAATGTGGCCATAGCCGCCAAGCAACTTCTAGTCAGAGGAGAAGCAAAACGAGTACTGATCGTCGATTGGGTGAGAAATCCTCCAAAGCCATTTGATTTTTAAGCGATTGGGCTCGAATGATTAAAGATCAATTTCGTTCGCAGGACGTGCACCACGGCAACGGCACCCAAAAAATATTCCTCGATGATCCGAATGTTCTGTATTTATCGATTCATCGCTACGACGATGGCAATTTCTTTCCGGGCACCGGTGGACCCACCGAATGCGGAGTCGGTGAGGGAACGGGTTACAACGTAAACATAGCCTGGTCCGGAGGCCTCAATCCGCCCATGAGCGACGCCGAGTACTTGGCCGCGTTTCGCACGATAGTCATGCCCATTGCGCGCGACTTCGATCCCGACGTGGTTCTCGTATCGGCCGGCTTCGACGCGGCCAGCGGACATCCGGCGCAATTGGGTGGTTATCACGTCAGCCCGGCTTGCTTCGGACTCATGACGCAAATGCTCATGACCCTGGCCAACGGCAAAGTCGTGCTCGCTCTCGAAGGTGGATACGACCTGGCGACCATCTGCGACTCGGCCCAGGAATGCGTGAGGGCGCTCTTGGGCGACAAGACTATGCCCATCTGTGAACAGGAGCTGTTGAGGCTGCCGTGTCAAAATGCCATTGATACGCTCCAAAGGACCATCGCAATTCAGGTACTTACCCATTGTTTCGTTTAGCTTAGCTGAAACAGTCCTTTTTATCTTATATTCGTGCTAAATTATACGATTATCTTGTAGTTGTCTCATTGGCCATGTTTGAACGAGTTTTCTCACATGGTTGGAATGAGTGCGGCTGAGGCACGACTGATCGAGGAGACCGAAACTCTTTCTGCCATGGCATCTTTGTCCATGAGACACCAAACTTCTTTCAGGTGAGTTTTTGATTATATTTAGTTAGCGTGACATGCACTCAGTTCCAAGATTAAATTTTGAATATTTTTGCATTTACAGTACCACGTCAGAACATTCCAGTATAGAGGAGCCCATGGAACAAGATGAGGCCAAGTAAATTTAATTATTATCGTGTATGTGTAAACGGTGACATTAAGAAAATTATTTTAAAAAAATAAGAAGGTAACATTAGTTTTCTCTCTTTTTCGATTTCCTTGGAAAACTCACTAGAAATTAAATTTATTTTTCGTAAAGTGATAGTTTGAATAGAAAAATATAAATTTATGTATATTATTAAAAACGATGTGATTCTCTAAAAAACAATTAGAACTAAAATGATATTAATTTTCTATCATTAGACATTTTTTTAAGGAAATCAAAAAGGATTTATTTATAACTTATTTTCAACTCTCCGACGTTTAGGCTCTCTTATAAAAGTCAAATCATCCATTTTGTTTAAGTGGTTAATTTTAAAAACTGATTGTCAAAAATTGTTATTATTATTTTTTTGTCGATCCAAAAGATAATGATCAAATGTTGACATCAATAAAGCGGGAGTCAATTCATAAGACTTATGAAAGTTTCAGTGAAAAATTATCTCTCTATTTTATACTTGTTATGTAACGTTACTTTGTTTCAAGGAAAGTAATTTTTTTAATATGGATAAATTAGAATCAACGAATGACAATTTTAACGTCCAGTAAATAGAGAGTGACTATTTTTTGTACATATAGATACGCAGACTGTAAAATATTTGATTAATTTTAACGATATAATAATAACTTTGACTGATTATTATTATACGTTATTTATGATTATTATAATTAAATCTATTATTGTAAATTTTCGTAAACTACACAATTACATGTACGCAAACGCGATTTTGTTAACACTACACTATTAAGCCATACTAACGGCGGTTTATTGTCGATCAAAACAACCTTGCCGTATCAAAAATATGTAATGTATTTGTATTCGTAAATATCACTATATTCGAATTTTAAGATTCTTTACGTGACACACCAGCGCTGGTCGCAGGTGCGCTTTTTTATCTTTAGTATTTAACCGAAAATTACGAGAACGTATAGCAGGTCAAATACTTGTTTATCATAGTCATCTCGAAGAATTAGTCATTCTTCAAAAATATAAAAAATGTTTGCGTTTATTATAAGTTATTTTCTATAATATACCGTTTTCAGCTATGGTGCAATTTTTGTGATATTTTGTGCAAAAACCCGTTGATTAAGTAAAAAAAGTTTAAAAAAACTAATCGAGATCATCATGTTGACCTTCAGATCTTTTAATCGGCATGCTAGACCATGAGTAGTTCGAGAAGATGAAACATGACGATGCACTTATAAAAGAAGCATGTGTGAAATTTTGCGAAAACAATATATAACAAGCATTTATTTTTATGTAATGCATTTTACAATGTTGTCGAAGTTGAGAAGAGAAATTATGAAAACGATATGTTGATCGATTGTATGATATATTATATGTATATGAAAAATTTATGGAACGAAGTGCAAATATATGATAATATGAATGTGTATATAATATATGTATTCATGCGTACCTACTGACATGAATTTTTTTGTGGAAATGAAAAAATTATGTGATACAAATATGTGTTGTATTGAAACAGTGCTATTAATTATTATTTGCGCGTCATGAATATTCTATACCAATATATAAATACTTTTTAAAGCAGAAATGCGCTTATGAATCTCAAATGTTTGATAAATATTAAGCATGTTGCTCTTAAAAGATTTTAAATGTTTTACGTCATATTGTATGAAATTATTATGTGAATGAAAAACAAAATTTTTACAAGAAATATCGGCATACTTCACATATAAATATAACAAATCATTGTAACACTATAAAGTTCAAAAGAAAAATGTAAACGCATGCAAAATAATATGCTCATAATCTGCAAGTGTAACCTCATACTTATGCTCTACGACCATAAATGCTATATTTGTGCCCTTTAGAGTCTTCAAGTATTTTATAAAAAAAAGAACACACTTCTTTTTTAAAAACTGTCAAAATTATTATATTATTGCACATCGAAACCATAATATTTTTTCTAGTTAGATGTTACGTACAGCGAAGGCCTATAAACCACGTTTTTATAATTGTTTTATCGTTTTATAACAATGATGACAAAACGGCTTCCATAAATCGCAACTTTTGTAGAGCTCTGAATGATGGTTTCGAAAGATGATGATATTATAATTTCTGATATAGTAAACTTCCAACATTCCATTAAACAATACTTGCTAAACTGAATAATTAGTTAATTAAGTTTTAAAATTATGAATGCTAGTGCGTGGGTGATAACTATGTGATCGATGTTAAATATCATTGTATAATATTATTAACAATATTAATAACAGCAGTGCGCTTGTGCACGAGTGTTGTATGCATATAAAAAAATTAAGTATCGAATGTATATGTTGACTGTTAAAAAACCAATAGGTATCACAAGAACCCAAAATTACTATTGTATGTTAAATTAATTGTGCACAAGATGTTGAGCACGATATGACGGTATTTATATGTTAAACATACCACTAATTGAAATAGTCATACTTTTTTATGTATATAAATGTACGCCCTAAATTAATTTTGAAAAAAATAAAAGTATAATGATTGTGTTATTAAAGCGATACAAGTTCTTCACTTTCTTCCGTATCTGTATACAATTTTGATATTTTTTTAAATTAATTGTGAGTATAGTGTACTCAAATCACCGATTTTCTTTAAAAACTTAAAAATATCTCAATAATAGTCCAAAAATAAGCAGGTATAGTATTAAAAATGTTTTGTATTTATAATATTTTATCTTAGAGATTATTTATATATCAAGTACCATAAACTTAAAAAAATATATATGAACCATATTTTTCCAGAAGTAATTTTTACCGAGATAAAGATTTATTTCCAAAATTAAGATACTAGTAGAAAAACCTCTGGAATGTTTCCTGGAATACACGATACAATGCTCTGATTCAATCCTACCTCTATAAAGGCAACGATTTCAGCGGACTCGATTTCAGTTAGAAACGGCCTACAAGATGAAAAAAAGCATAAATAATTTAAAAATTAAAAATTTTTCTTACGATAATTTTATTGCTGAGTGTATACAGTTTGGTTTGGTTAAAAATAAAAAGTGTGTATGCAACTAATTCAGATGTATTTTGATCAACTTTTTGTGAGGTTTCGGGTAATATAATTTTCTAATTGGTAAATGGAAACATAAAAATTGGCATTAAAAGGTAATCATTAAATACACAAAAATCGACTGCTAAAACTATTCATATCGAAACTCATATTTATGAGTGAAAAATCAGTGCGAAGCAATTGAGAGTGATTTTAATTTTTCATGAAACAATATTTCATAATCATTTCTCGACACTGTATCAAACTGAATTTTTGGGTGAACTACCTTAAGGATTATATTTTAAGGTAGTTTCTCATGGAAATTATTTATCCATCGACTGTGAAAGTCGAGTGAATAACTGGTAATTTTGATCTAATTCACTCATTAAAAAAGTATTTCTTGAAGCTCGAAAGATTCTCTATTGACAATTAATTCATTTTACTGCATGAACGTAGCTGACAAACGCTTAGAAAAATACCAATTTGAAGATTGATGGACCTTTTGTTTTATTTAATCGTTTTAATCGATTATCTTAACGAGGCGGTTAATCGCTGACTCAAAATCGCACTTGCCTAAGCGTTTACTTTTTGAAAGAATTATATTTTTGAGAAAAATTAACAGTTTTTTAAATAATTTAATTGAAGAAGGAAACATGATACATATGTATAAAAGGTATCTTTTAGAATAAGAGTAAAAGAAACTCTAGTTATCTTGTATGTCTTGAAAAATGAGCAACTTTATATATTATATTGAAATAAAATTAATTTACATTAATACAGTTTCATTCGACAGTTTAATAATCTACTAATAAAAACAAACCTCTATAACAATCACAAATAAACGAACTCGGTTAATAAAGAAAAAGAATGAGTTCGAGTAAGCATCAAAATATTTTTATGTCAATATGATATTTTTGTGGCTTCTGTGTGGTTTCTGTGAGCTTGGATTGAATTTGGGCAATGCAAAACTTATTATATGAAAATCTATTTGGTCGAACGTTTCTCAATTCATAATTCTGAATTGATGCAGACAGTTTCTCTTAGTTTTAATAAACACAATAATGAGTTTAGAGGGGATGACTATAGACTCATTTCTTATCTTACGGACATTTAGTTGACGGTAGCCGGCTTAATGAATAGGAATGGAATTATAATTACCCGATCTCACGTTAGTGTATACGTACACATATAGCCCCAAATTTTTGAATCAGTGTCCAACAATCTAGCGATCGACTAACGTCTCGGAGCGAGTTCCTTGGGAGATTGGTATTACGTCAGTTGTATCAAAAGACAAGGTAATTTTTTAAAATTGTAAAATTTTGTAAAATTAGGTGTTTTAAAATAATGTTCAGTGTATAATTTTTTTGTTATAAAATGTAACAATTGATTTTGATTTTCATTAGTATTTTGCATATAAGACCGACGAATAAACGAAAAATATTTGGTTATTGCTTACAAACAAACTTTTGTAATTATTGAAGCTGTGTACTTTTGTGCGGACTCCGAAGCCAGTGTAAAAATCAAAAGCTTAGTTATCATTTCTAAATGTTTATTATATATTTTCTAAAAACCTTCATGGTGTGTTAGAGGACATCCAAATGTAAAAAGTCATATACATGTCAGGAAATGGGATTGAAAATTTAATACTTACACTGGTTTCCAAATCCTCTTAAAAAGTTGATATAACAAATATGTTATATTAATGAGTTTCACAAAAAATAAGGGGTTATTTAATTATGTACAATTTTTATTGCAGAAAAATAATTAAAAATCAATATGAGTATCAACTTAAATATGGACACAGAAATGATCGATAATGCAAGAAACGACGAGATCGAGAGAAATATGTTGAGTGAAATAAACTTGGAGGAAATATATCCTGCTTTTGAAGATCAGGATAATTCAAGTAAACTGGGTGAAGCGGAATTCGATCGTTTAGCTCAAATGACAGTGAGAAATATCATGTATGGAACCCAAGAAGATTATAATGAAGATTTACTTGATTTTTCTTTATCTGACATGGCTGGACTAGAACTTGACACGGAAAACACCCAAGTACACACAATGCTAAGTTTTGATCACAATTATAATTATCACGAGGATAATAGAGAGCTAACAGTAGTGGACGTATGGGCGGTCATTTCTAAAAAAGCGATTGAATCAAGTTTAAGCACTGCAGTTCTAGCTTGAATATGATCCCTCGATCTTGTCTGTGCACTTGCGATCGCTAAACACGAGTGCTCGAGAAAAATGAAAAGTTGATACTTGGTAATGATCGTATAAAGAATTTTTTACCCATGAGAGATGAATAAAATCGACGTACAGAAGAATATATTGGGTTACATAACTTTTATGTATAAATTAGCTGCGCTGCATTATATGATATACTGAATGTATATCATATAATGCAAAATAGAAAGCTAGCGCTTTCTATAACATTTGCCAGATAAAATGTGATTTATTTATACAAATTTAAATAATCAATGGAATAGGATCATATATGAATTATAAACTCTGAAGATATAAAATTATGGAAAAAAGAGTTACTGATTAAACAATCAGTGAATTGTTAAGAGATTCTGAGCAAAGATAATGATAATGAAATATTAATAGAATGATTCCAATTTTAGAAACTGTCAGAATGATGGTTGTAGAAAAGACGAATATTTAAATCTTTTGAAAAGTTTGACTGATGATCGATTGGGAGATTATAAATTATTTGTAAAAAAATTAGGCCTACAAGTTAAAATAAGTATATAAATTTTGAGAGAAAAAATGTTCGTCATTAATACATTTACTCCTCTATTTTTCATATTTAAAAAATAAAAAATATTTCAAAATTAAATTAATTTGACAGAACATAAAAGTTTAATAAATAAACATTTATAAAAATGATTAATTAATAACTATCCATTTATTCAACAAACCTTCCTAACAACTATTAAATAAATTTTTATAATACAAATAATTTTGAGTTTTTTGTCCCTTAATGTAGGCGAAATTTCAATATTATTTTCAAATATACATGACTGCTACATATTTTTAATGCCCGTGTAATTTTATTTGCAGTATTACATCCAAAGCAAATTTTCTTAGTCTTAGAGCTCATAAACATCAATTTACGAGTTTTACCTATTGAAAGTAAATCAAAACATTGCGTGATTAACTAACCGTTGGATAACTTACGAATATTTGGGATGTACGTTCGTGTGACTATAGAGAAAAATTATCTAAATATTATAACGAATACAAGTATGAACACTTAAATGAATAATTTATTAATTATAATTTTTTCTTATAAATGCTATACATAAAGTGTGAGATATAAGTACATGGCTTTTTGTCAATCAATTTATTTTAAGTCTAGTGATTTGATATTTACTATAAGTAGTTGAATATTGATACTATTGTTTTACTCGCTTTTGTACTTAAAAAGACCTTTAAGAACTTGAAAAAAAGTTCATTATGGGTTAATCGTGATGTAACTCATTTATAATAAAAAAATGATTACTATTTATAAGGCGTTACTTTTAAAAAGGATGAAATAACGCAGTATTCACCCAAACTTTTACATCAGAGGGGAATTTTTGTATTTCTTATTTGTAAATTTTTTTTTCACATTTTAAAAAATTTTTTAGAAAGATTTTTTTGATAATACATGAAATTTACGTATAAAATTAGTATTTTCAATTCTTTCATCTGTGTCAGTATCGTGTTTCCGTGGTGTAGTGGTTATCACATCCGCCTAACACGCGGAAGGTCCCCGGTTCGATCCCGGGCGGAAACATTTTTTGTAAAATTCGACTCTAAAACCATGAAACAACTGTTTGATTACATAATACATCTATGTCAAGGAATACTTTTTTAAATTTTATGTTTACATTTTTGTTTGCTTGTGAAGTATTTAAAACAATCAGATTTTTCCTGAAAACCAATTATTAAAAACTTTGCAACTAAGGTGGGAATGATTTCAAGGTGGTCTAGTCCAGGCTGCGATTATGTCAAAGTTTTCAAACCGCTTGTGACTATGTGATTGGGCACTCGTTGCGAAAGTGTAAATCTAGAACGATTAATTGTGTAATATCCAACTTTTAGATCAATATTGCAATTATTCAAGGAGAAACAATAACTTTACGGTGTACAATTAGCAATAGTGTCGATAATCACTATTTTGGGTGGTCAATTATTCTTATAGCTTTTGTATAGTTATGATAAAAATCTTCTGTTAGAGAAAAAATTATTATTAACGGAAAATCGAGAGTAATATTAATGACACTTTTCAATAACTTTTACATGTATTCCCTGCTTATATTGAATCGGTTAGTATAACATTAAACAGAGAATCGTTCTTAATAAATTGCAAATCATTTTCTAAAGTACAGCGAAGAAAACAATAATGTTAAATGATCATAATATAGAAGATACATTTTTCAATAGTCCTGCTTACTATCTTAATAAGAAATGTTTGATACTATCTGGTGGCTGGCCTTACCTAAATCCAAGAAAAAGTAAAACCATTTGGCTCGCCGTTTATTTGTATGTATTAACTGCCTGGCTGCCAGAGGTAAATGAGGCTGTTTGCAATCGATTTGCTTAATATTTGTAATTAAAAAATTTTCTTGATGTAGCTGATACACATCATTACCATAATAGATAGAACGAAAGAAGTAATCTACTGCTTAATGGCATTTCTTTGTACATACTTGGCTTTTTGTTCGTCCATCAATGGCTGCATAAAATCTCATTCGGTAAAAGACGAAAAAACAGCTACTGTCAATGAGTGAGTGCACGAACTTTTCGGATGAAACAACTGCTCGATTCCGTAAGAGAAAATTGGAATAATTTACAGAGCGACGACGAAAGGAAGATTTTCGCGAAATATGCTAATTACGGCAAGATCTTTACCATCGGCCTATCAGGTACAGATATGTCATACTTACAACACAATAATAAATTGTCATTCGTCAGTTTGCTACTATATGGTTCTACTGTCTTACATCATATCACCACTGATACCATCGTCGTAAAGGGCAACTGGACTACACCTGAGAGAAATATCCTGGAGGTCGAGTTTTTCATCGATCCCGACGAGAACTACTGGACGATTTACGTTCACGGGATCTTTGAAGCTATTGGGGCCGTTTGGATACTTCTGGCTTACGACGTTTTTTTTGGCATGGTAGTGCAACACTTTTGCGGCATGTTCGCAGTCTTGGGGTAAATTTTGATTATGAAAATCCACATGATGAATATTGAAAACTGTAGGAAGATTTCAGGTTCAAAATTGAACGAATAAACAAAGAAATCAGACTTTATAATTATAGTTATAATCAGCAGTTAGCCGTGAAAAAAAATTGAGGAAATTGTGATGTACCATCTCGAGTGCCTCGAGTAAGTCTGTTCAATTGTTACTGGTGCAATTTCGAGTTATTATTTATTCAAGATTTTAACACTTAGATTGGGAAAAATAATTGAAGATTTCTTCTACATGGAGTATATAATAATATAATAATATGATAAGTGTATGCGGATCGCAGGTGAAAAATTAATGACGTTTGTCCAAGCAAATTTTACAACATTTCGGGCTCAATCATTGCACTTGCAGGTCATACAACTTGCAGATGAATCTAAACAAGAATCATTAAGATTTGTTTATTTGGCCAGTTCGACCATATTTCGCCTGTCTTTGATTAATATCTGTGGACAAGATGTTTACGATAAGAGCCTTCGCGTACACGAAGATTTGTAAGTTAGCAATTTGTAAATTAACAAGTAATTTAAAAAACTATGTTCTTCCAGCATAGACACTGTTGGGTATGAGTATCCAATACACGTAAGGAAATTATTCATAATCCTTTACAATAGAAGGGCCGAGCCTTGCAATTTTACAGCTGCTAAAATGATTAGCTTAAATTTCATCACTTTTTCTAAGGTATTTTAAATTCCTCTTTCACGTTTATCAAATTTATTTGAATATAAATTTTTCTTATCGATCTCTAATTCGTTCAGCTAATAAAAACGGCAATGTCTTATTTCATGATGATTATTCAAACTTCATAAGATTTTTTTATCGCAAGTATTTTAAATCGTCGTCCACTCAGGTTAATAAGTCGTCACTGCAATACAGAAAAATTGCGACTTAAACAGAGTCAATGTCTGAAGAATGAACCAAAAACTTATTGTATATTCAACTAATTTATTTAATGAAAATTAATTTATGCAATAAAACGATCTAATTTTTTATTGCAAGTGTTTCAAAGAACTTATAAATATCATAGTTACAAGAACGCGAATTCAATCTCTAATATAGTCGTGATACCTACTTGCCGTTTTTGTTTCTCTTATACCTGCGGCCATTCAATATCTTATTTTGTCTTCTCTGAAAGATTTATGAAAGGTTTTCAAAACGTTGCTAGGTAATATTGTTTTATGAAACTGTGAGCGAACCACTAAACGCATAACGCATGAATTAAAAGTTAAATCGAAATTCAATGACCTGACTTGAAAAACAAAATATTCTACAAAAAGAATTTATTATTTATAAACTTTTAATAATTATAAATAAAAGTGCATAAATATGATTTTACGTACATAACAAAATTTGCTCCTTGTTGTGAGTAAAAATGAAAATTTTTAAAGTAACAAACTAACTTCAAATAATATATAAATTATTTTTTACTTGCAAATAAAAAATATAAACTGTGTGGTAGAAATTCACCAACATAAAATTAAAAAAAATAAAATAAAATACGGCAAATCGTGAATACGATGAACAAACTTAATTCACCAACATACTTAATCTTTATTTCAAATTGAGTCAATCATATAGTTAAAGATTTAATTATTTTTGCGGCAAATTATATAATTATTTATAAAACAAATTTATCATTATCCATTTGGTAATTTTAAAAATATAGTCGACAACTAACGAATACACAAGCATATGAATCAGTTCTACAAAAGTTAGACCACATCCGTCACGACTATACGAAGCCAGATCTTATTGGAATCTATCGTGCTATATAGGTTACTAGAAATTTTTTTTCCGGCGAGGAAGACACATTAAGTTGCAGTCGGACTGCTTGGGTTACGACTTGACAGGATGACACGATTGCCAAGGAGCTCTTGCGAACATCATAAGAAAGTCTATACCTATACATAACACATGAGAAGTCAGAGTGAACTGTGAACTCATATAAATGTAAGAGAGGATGCATATACGCATGCAGCGGGCTGTGCAGAAAGAAGCGCGCGCATGTTGGAACGAAAACTCCGAAACGGTTATGTCGTATCAGGCGTACAGAGATCTGTGAAAGGTATGTTCTCTTTCTAGCGCGAGAATATGTGGGTTGCTAATTACAGAATAGTTTATTAATCTCACGATTCTTATTTTATTTACCTAGAAGAACGGTTGGAGGGATAAATGTTTATAACTAAAATGTGGAATAAAAAAGGTTAGAAATAATTTCTGATTTTTATGCTCAAATATCGTGGCACCCATTCTTATTAAATAAATTAAATTGAACAAAGATATTTGAGCTCCCCGCGTAAGGAATATTTCATTAAAAAATATTGCAGACTCGCAATATGCATATGCAACGGGCACGAGCTTACCGCGAAACGCAGAGCAACATATATTATTTCGTTGCGCATCGAAATTTGTGTGAATTCTTAGCTAAACTAGTAAAATAGACGTGAAAAAAATAAACCTCAGCGGCAGCGGGAAATATCGAGTGGTAGATGCTATTAGGAAAGTAGAAATGCCAAGTTGGCCATTCATCTCGAGTGTACTTTTACTTTCATACACGTACACACTCTCACAAACCTACATGTACTTACGCGTGTGAATCGCGATGTCGCGAATATACGTG